GGAAAAATTATGATTTATAAAGTATTTTGACTAAATTTATCCAATATCAATTGTTTGTAGCACTTTGGGCAAAGATTCTAAGATCTTGTGTTTTTATTATTTCCTTTATTGTGAGCTTGTGATTGGAGGATTTAATAAAATAAATGTTTGCCAATCAAATGCACAAAACAAATTAGAAAAAAAAATATTAACGCTTTTGTTAATTAATAAAAAACTTAATAATTTGACTTCAAATTGATTTCTTATGGATTGATGTCAAATTATTTGAATGCAAATTTATAAATGACATAAAATGTGGGTAACTATGTTTTAAAATTTTCACAATTATAAAATATAATTATAGACTGGACTATGGGCCGGCTGTGCGTGCACAGCCGAATCAAATCTAGTTTGGTATATATGCAAATAAAAGTGATTCATTAAAACAGAAGTGTAAATTAGTCATTCGGGACGTGAAGACAACTTATGTGGGCCGAGTTGTCAAAGGCCCTATTCGAGTTTAAGTATCAGAGGCCCATTATATATTTATCTTTTCCCATGTGAAGGCACATAACCGAGAGATAGCATGTAATTTGGCAGGATATTAGTTACACCGAAATCAAATTTCTTTCAGTCTCTTCCTCCGTTGTGTCTCTCATATCCATCCATACACAGAAAATCCATGAAAATCAGAAAAATTCATAAAAAAAATCATAACAAAAAAGAGAGTTCATTGCACAAGCTCATCACATATCACATATATACATACAGAAACATCATCCTTCTACAAATGCAAGAGGCCTTCTACAAATGCAAGAGGTTTGATATAAGGTTCCAACCCATCCATGACTTCTTGTCCGTAAGTGGCGCGAAATTTAGCGCGAACATTTCCCTCGACAAGGGCTGTGAAGACGACTCACAAAAGCCGACAAGCTTAGCCACGACATGGGCACTTTCCTTGACGTGCTGCATGTCCAAAGGGTTCGTCCACAGCTTGTTCACCAGCTGCAGTCTTCTCTTCTGCTTGCCCTCTAATGAGATCTCCCACTTCATGTACAGCATTTCTCTCTCCTCGGCTGTAAGCTTTGAGCTCACCCTCTTTGCTAAGTACTCTCTCTCCTCCTTGAGAGCCTTGATACTGAACAAATGTTAAAAATTACTACTTGCTCACATGTTTTATTTGGTGGAGGTTGGAAATTGAAAGGGTAGTGCATTTACAAAACAATCCAAAATCTTTTGGATTTACACGTATATCCTTTTTAAATTTGGTGTTCGCTGCACAAACTGCAATGCTCCATAAGCGCAATTCGTATCATCAAGAAATATGCATGTATGAAGGCCCAAGGCCAGGGCATGTAAACAATTTGAGATATAACTGTACCATTTTTGTAATTAGCATTTTTGCACCTGGACCAATCAAAGGTTGACACGTTAATTCAGTCAAATATTGATCCAGCTCAGCTCATACAATGCTAAAGTTCAAATTTTTTAAAGTTAGGCATGCAAAAAGTGCAACTCTAAGGAAAGTAGAACGTTCACTATAGTTAGCCATGCAAAAAATGTAATTACCCCCTTCAAATATAATTACCCTCAAGTATATTATATATACCATTTAAACGTAAGTACCTGGAAGTTACGGAGCCAGGAGGGTCATCACCCAAAAGCGCAGGACTCGCATTCCCCACCTCGTCCAAATTTTGCTCCAACCATTTCAGTCTTCTAAGCTCAACTTCCATATATATCTGGTCTGAAGGGTCTCCCCTGAATAGCAAGTAAAACTGGGTACGGTGCACGATCGAGACGTGGCAAACGTGCCACAGCATTATTATTTCCTTCCTCTGATCTTCAAACATCGCTGTCCACGTCATGGGAGATGGTCCTGCAGTAGCTTCCGTGTCGTCATCACTCGTGGCCTCGTTGGCCTCCTCCAATTCTAACACCTAGGTAGGTTATTCACAAGACTCACAAATCAGAGCTGAATAAACATTTCACAGGGTTAAAAACTATCAAATCTACCCTCGAGGTTTAGTCTAATTACAAAAAAGCATCCACTAGTCGTCTCTCAAAAATTACGAAATAATACCTTGAGGTTTTGCATGTCCTTTATAGTCATAGGTAGCTCTTACAGGGGAGCTCACACTTTTGTAAGAAGAATAATATAACGAAGCTCCTTTTCTCTTTTTTTTTTTTTTTTTTTTTTTAATCATAAATCATGTATACCATGATTGCAGTGAAAATTTATCGAAAAAGCAAGCAAGTGGAAATATCGATGGAATTCTTACCTGACAAACTAGAAGCTGCTTCTGGTATTGTAGCTTCGCAACGCGTTCCTTCAGCTGGCTAACATAAGCCTTAATGCTCTTAATGTTATCCTCTGCTGCCTTCTTAAACATCTTCTGGACTTTCTTCACATCGATCGAGCTCGATTCTTTTCTTCCAGAAGCATTCTCTTCCCCACTATTAGGCGTCCCCTCTGGGGCTCGATTTTCGATCTCGTGAGAAGACAATGTAGTCGTGGAGCATGGCGAACGTATCAAATTTGGAATGTTAGCTGTGTTGCTCAACGCGAAGGGGAGCATTTTCTTCTTCTTAGACGAGTTTTTCACATCGGGTGTGGCCATATCCTTGCTGCTTGGAAAATGCATGACTAATTCCTCTATCGATCTCTGTACGTTCTCAAGCTTCTCTTCCAAAACCAAGATGTTCCCCTCATGCGAGTTCAACCGAGCAATTTCGTCTCTCAAGGATGAATTTTGATCTCTTTTGACCTGAATTTCTTCCGAACTGAAACTGGCAGTATGTATTGATTTGATTTCGTTTAGCATTTTCGCGATTGCCTCGGCTGAGCCCTGGCTTCCGAGCCTTTGGGCAGATATTTCTTTATGGAGTAGTTCTAAGGCTCGGTTCGCTTCCTCGCCTAGCTGTCTTTGTCTCATTTCTAGTTTTCTTATCTCCGTGACTAACGAGCTTGAAGAGGCAGATGCTTTTTTCCCGCGCTTTCGTGATTTGGGCTTTGGGTCACATTTGTCGGGAAGCCGGTCATCATTCACTGTGTTGAAAGAGAGGCGTTTCACGGCTTGGTAAGAAGGGCCACCGTGGTCTGAAGCCTGAAACACGAAATATTTTGAAGAAAATTACTGAAACTACCCCTGCAGTTTAGCCTGATTAACCAAAAAATAAGGAACACGAAAGTATTTTGCAAAATTACAAGTAACAACCTTCACCTTCAGGTTATGCTAATACCCACTTGGTCTACATAAACGATCCCCAATTGGCAATGTAGACAGATACTAAAAGGGTAAATGTAATTTTTGATAAATAGCTGGTTGTTTATTACTATTATTATCATTGATGTTGTTTTAATTCTGTGTGATTTAGACTGAAACTCAAGGGTGGAACTATAATTAGGAACATACCTTTTGTTCTTTGCGTGAGCTTCGTTCTAACACAAGCTGAGATTGTGCAAGGTCTCTCTCGCGCTTCATTTCGTTTATCTCTCTCTCCAACTGCATTTGAAAAGTTGATATCAGAACTGTTATAATAAGCTACTTCTGAACGACATGAGCTACCTTGACCGATTCCTTCAAAACTTTGTTTATTTCCTTAAGGAATTGATAATACAATGGGCAACAGGTGAAGACCACAAATCAAGTACCAAATAACACTTGGAAAAAGAAGTGCACACTGTAAAACAGTTGCACAAACGACTATAAAATAATATACTTCTTCCTTGAAATCACCTCCAATAACTTCTGATTTGAGCTCCACACAGCTTTCTAACAAAAATGTTGCCAACATCTTATCAATAACTTAAGTGCCTCCAATAAATCAAACACAACATGGACATTACAGGATACGATGCATATCTTGGCATTACATTCTTGTCAGGCTTAGGCACTTTGTTTTTACGTGACTCTCCAGTGAATCTAATTGGGTTTCTACAGGAAAAGGAAAAAAGCTAAATAACACTATTATGGATGCCAGGAATAATTTTATTCATTTGGTTTATAGTTAATTATCATTCCTCAACGTATGAAAGAAAGGAAATTTTGAAAGTTGAGTCGAGAGAAGATTCTGACTGTCTTGGATACCAGGAAAGTGAGTATTTAATGTGCTATCACTATCAGGTATCTCTATGTTAATACATATATTTCTTTATTCCTCATTGACCTAATTTTATGTGAATTACTATCTTTCTTCGAGCCAAAAAAAAACTTGTGGTACCTGCTGAATTTTCGAATCTTTTTCCTTCAGCAAAGATCTTAAACATGAGGATGCAGATGATGGTTCGGGGCTTCGGAGCTCAGCTTCCAGCCTGGCAACTTCATCTTGCAATTGCTTCACTAATTGCTTCTTTTCAACAATCTACATTTGAAAATGATTTACAGTTTGGACAACATTCATATCCCAGATGATAAATAATTGAAAAGAATCCCATTCGCCAACTGCAAGGGCACATTTTAAATATGCCTACAATGTCTACATTATAACATTGTACATCTTATAGTCCCCCTTAAATTTGTTGAACAGAGAAAATGTGTCTTGAATTTCTAGCTCCTTTCAAATATCGCTTTATATTATTTCTATCCTCACTTTAGCACAAGATCGAACAAAACATAATGGTCCTTATTTATGTCGTGCCTCTAACGAGACAACCAAAATCAAAAGTGAATCTAGAAATATGCTTATTTATAATATTCAGAATAAGGAAAGGTTTTAATATAACCTCAATTAAAATGAAATGTTATGCACTTTAGATAAAATGAGCAGATTTTCGTCAATACCATGTTAACTTTAGCACTGTTTGTAACTTCCTTTGCACTCATTGCAAATAGAAGCGTGTTACGTGATTGATCCACATGACTCAAAGCAGGACTCATAGTGCAAATAATTGCAGTCCGTGCATTCCCACCTAGTGATGTCTGCAATATCCTCGTGAGTTTCGAATCTCTATAAGGAATGTGACCACTTCTCTTTCCACCACTGTGATAAAAGATGCATCAATTAGACGTTTATGTTTACAAATGATGCAGTTTCATTTAATTTCCTACTCAAAATCCGAATGTAGCTAGTGTTATCCACACCTTAGCTTTCTGATTACAGTTGTCAGTGTCAGTAAGCTTCTGTTGATATGGCTCCCTTCTTTCAATCTTGTACCATCTGCATTTGATTGACTTTGCCGTTCACTTCCAGCAAGATCTACAAGATTCTGTAATATCCCACTGTGTTAGTGTTATATGGTTTTGTGGTGTTTAACAGAGGAAAGATCGAAAGTAATAATAAAAACATATACACACCAAAGTTGCTAAATATGATTTCACACACCCCGAGTCTTCTCGGAGACTGCTTTCAATAGTCTGAAAATAGAAAGAAGAAAAAGAGGATGATAATCAAAATTGGTGTATAAAAATGACAGTGACAAAAGAATAATACCACAACTGCAGGTGCAAGATTTAAGTACCTCAAGAGTATTGATCAAAGTAACCAATATTTCAAAATGTTCAATGAAATTTGGAAACAAGTTCCATCTAAAAGCATGATGATAAGGACATAATATGGTTTCTTTCAATTCTTGTTCCTACTTCTTACTGTTTCTAATTAATTGCTTCTATATTCAGATACAGTTAGGTAAGAATTTTTGCATTTAGCGTTTTACTTACAGTTAGAGCATTATATATAACCTATCTAAATGAGTGAACATTTTGGTGACAAGGGTGAATTTTCTCCTTTTTTCAATGTCCTTATAATATATATGGTTAAAAATCCAACTTATAGAGAAAAGTATTTATGGATAAACAATGCCAGTCAACAGCCAACTTACAAGACAGATACTAATTATGATGGACAAAGAAACTCACTCACTTGACGAGAGATTAAGAATCACACCACGAGTGGAAAATCACTAAACGAGTTCACGGATCTATAGAAATAAATGGTCTGTAAATGTGGAAATAAAAACAGACCATGCCACTGGCAACTGATGTAATCAACCCAGAGATTATGCACATCAAATTACATATTTCTGGCTCATATTATTTTAAAAGATTCATACAATACTTCAGCCAAAAATTTGATAAATCAATAAAATTAAATCAAAAGGTATTTTGGAAGCAAGTGAAAAACCTACCAGCCTAATTATCTGATGTGACCTTGAGCTTGTGTCATTCAGGGCAGTTTCACCCACCTGCCTTTGAGCTGCAACCATAAGAATGGGTAAAACATTAGAATTATGATGTAACGGTGGAATACGTTTATTCTAAAACAGGCAATAAAGAATTTTAGCCAAAGCTTTATTACCTTCACAAATACTTATAAGGTGCCTCAAATGTTGACCATCCTTGACAACCTCTTCGATCAACTTATCCACAATGGTTCCTCTCTGCAAACATTCACACACATTTTTAAGAAGAACAAATCTAGGATCAAATCTGAATGCCCAAAACTTAATGTCATTACCTCGGGATCATCCAACAGGCGAAGGCAGCCAGACTCTCTATTTAAGAGATCTACAACATTTTCATTATAAATCTCCAAAGCAGAAAATTTGAGCGAAAATTCTCTCTGTGGTGTCTGTCAGAGAACAAAATTAGCTTTTAAAAAAAATTTAAACCAAGTCTACTACTCTACTAGAATACACAAGAAATGGTCTCGGGTTTTTTCTGATATCAATATATCTTACGATGTTGATGTGCTCGTATATGTCTTTTATAGCATGTTCTGCCACACCTCTCATGGTGAATGTCTTTCCACTACTAGTCTGCCCATATGCAAAGATCGTTGCTGTAGACAAAAATACAATTAGAATAGAAAAGGATAAGGCAATCAAAATTAAAACATGAAAAACATATTACGGACACTGTTTTCCGACAACAGTTACCATTAATTCCACTGACAGCAGACATGGCAACATCTCTAGCACCTTCTTCGTAAACTTTTCGTGTAGAGCAAGTTGGATCAAACACCTTATCTGGGAGACGCAGTTTACACACTTAACTGTTAAGATATGCAAGTAAGAAGTTAAAAAATGCAAATTATACTACATACCGAATGTATACAGCCCTCCATGCCGATCATGATGTAAATTCTTCGAAACAATGGTATTTTCATCCACGATGTCCCACGCAACAAGGTCATAAGCAGCTATTTCTTTTGCATTTAGTGGTCTCACACGTACAGTCACCAAAATATTCTCCTCACGGACTCTTGGGCCGCCCGGAGTACAAGCTGGAGTCCTTCTGATCTTCGACGACGGTGTCCTTGGCGTCCCTATTGTCATCTTCAGGTAACAAATATCTTCCGACCCATATATCAAGAACGGAAAACAAAATTATTACGAAACTGTCGTAATTGCAAGAACAACAAGACCAAGAAAATCCCATAAGCCAATATTGCAACTTCATCACAAACCACCGAAAAACAGTTACAGAAAACCATCAAACTTAATCCAAATTAGAATATTTCACAAAGATTTACACGCCTCATTGTCAAAGATTTATGCTCGTAAAGCGTAAAGCGTTCTGTTCGAAAACCGCCAACAGCGATTGAACTGTCTCGAATACTAAAAAAACAGTAGACAATTACAAACAAATTCATCCTCGATCCTTCTAAACCTAAAATAAACTACAAAATGCGACCCCTTCACAGCGAATTAGGGTTTACAACAAAGGGCAGGAAGCGATTCAATCACTACGAACCCCTACCACAAGATTTCAATATTCAGATAATCTCTCCTCAAGATCAATTTACCAAAAATACATGTACATTTACAGGAAAAAATCCAAAAAAAAAAAACGAAAAAATAACAAGAATCTGAAAATTAGAATAAACTAAAAAATGCGCCAAATAAAAGTAAAAGTTTCCATAATTTATCCACTCACATTCCAAATCAGCGGCAGCACTGACCAGATTAAGCTCCTGAGGAAAACAAGGGTTTTTGTATCAGTATTTGTTTATTTAT